CATGCATCCAGGAACAACTCACTACTGGCATCCGGATCACTCTCCCTTGTCTCCTCTCCACTGGTCCAAGGCTCAGGTGCCTCCTGGTGGCCAACCAGCCCTCAGAGTCGGAACCCTGTCCAGGGTCCTCCACATCCTCCAGAGCCGACTCCTCGGGCCCCTTGCTGTCGGAGTCTGGTGGCAGCTCCAACGGCTCCTGCTGGGCCACAACAGAAGGGAATATTGGACACTTGAGGTTGACAGCGCTGAGGTTGGTGGTTGGCTTGTAAGCATCTCATTACCCAGCTTGGCACCATCATCAATGCCGGCAGAGGTTAGGGGGGGAGGAGTGGCTGATGGTTTATTTGGAGCAGGATGCCCTGCCAGTTTTGGTGGTCCTGTAGTTTGTATCCTCAAGGAGGAAACTAGATTACCCCAAATTAGATCTGTCCTGGATGAGGTCGGTCTAATATACAGGCAGTCCTCGGTTTACGACCATCCATTCAGTCGTTCGTTCAGGTGGCTTTGACGGAGGACTTAGAATGGCTCCTTGGAGTTCTGACATTGCCTTGCACTGGCTCACATAATTGCAGTCTCCCAAATTCTTGCAAAGTCGACGGGGAAGCCAGCAGGAAGCCATAAGTTACGGTCACTAGGTCCTCGCTTAACGACGGCAATTGCAGACTGCATCCAGAAGCGCCCCGTGCAATTGGATCCAATTCCTTTAAAAAAATATATATATCTCTTTGTTGGGGAGGCGTTCCATGTTATTGTTCTTATTATTTGGGGCTCTGTTTTTGCATTGCATTGAAGAGCTCCAAGCAGGCCGCTACTTTTGTTCAAGACAGCCCTGCGAGGTTGGCCAGGCTGGGCAAATTGGGTATCGCCTGAGTCCCTCCTTCAACCTTAAGGCCCTGGACGGGATCACTCAGGGGAACAGCCCTCGCCTGGATTGTCTGTAAAAAAAACAACACATATATATATATATATATATCAGAATTTTAAAAGATTTCTTGAGGAAAAGTCTCCCCAGGAGCACTGAGGCGGCCCTACGCCACTAGCGTAGCGAAACGGCTTTTGACGCGGCCGGAGCGCCATTTGTTTCCCACACACACACACTTTACGCCGGCGGCGTAACTCAGGCGGGCTTTTTCCTGGCGGCGAGCGGGCGAAGAGTTGGCGAGGAGGGCGTGGCCGCGCTTGCTCTCGGCCCCGCCTCCTCAGTTCCCCGCCGCGCGCCGATTGGCCGCCTCCCGCCGGCCGCCGAGGCTCCGTCCAGACGTTTCTAGAGTCTGGCCGTGACGTCACGGCGGCGGCGTTCCAGAAAGTTCGCGGCGGCGCCTATAAAAGCGCCGCAGCCGCCCGGCGACGCGCCAGGATCGAGAGAATCGGGACCGGTGGAGGCGCGTCGCCCGGGCGGGCTAAGTAAGGTGAGACGCGGGGGGCGGCTGCCCGTGATCGTCGGCCGGGCAGGAGAAGCTCCGGAGGGGGAGAAGGACGTCGCAAGCACGGAATCATGGCATTGGGGGGGGGGGGAATGGAACCTTGGACTACAAATCCCATCATCCGCCCTCTCTCCCTTCAATGTAGGGGGTGATGGTGGGGAAAAGGATGCGGTTCCACTTGTAGCCGGGGTGTGGGCGAGCGGCTGTGGATGATGGGGTTTGTAGACCCAAGGAGCTGGGGGTTGTGCACTGGGGAACATGGGTATTGTAGTCCAAACGGATTTTTTTTTATTTTAAAATTTTGAGCTCTGGCTGGGGATTATGGGAGTTGTAAAGCTCTGAGGGAGGGGATGAGCAGACAGAAAAGTCAGTTATATTGGTATAAATTGGAGGGGGGAAGATTTCCTTTTTGGCCAGAAATTTGGCAATTTCTGGGGGGGGAATGAATGGTTTCCCCCCATCTGAAAGAGACACACACACACACACACACCAAAACACACCAAAAAAAAGTCCTAGGAGACCTTTCATTGGAAGGACAAGAATATTAATGGGACCAGGCTGCAATATTAATAATACATCCGTAATTGGGAGAAAACCCCAAAAAATCGAGATTAACAGAATTGGAAGGGACCTTCGAGGTCATCTAGTCCAACACCACCACCCCCAACTGCCCAAGCCTCTACGTCATTTTTGACAGGTGGAAGTCCAGTCTCTTGGATGATAAAATATCCCAAATATTTTTGGTAACATCCCAAAGGTGCTTTTTCAAGAGGCAGAAGGTGAGTGATGAAAAAAATTCCTAATCCATCCTAGTCCCATTGGATGAATTTTGGGGTTTTTAGGAAGAAGAGGGGAAAGCCAGGAAAAAAGTGAAGAGGCTCCCTGGAAAAAGCAGATTATTCCTAATCTGTTTTTAAAGCTTCGGGTGCAGCTTCTCCATAGGACGGCTGGAAAGAAGCTGGCTTTATTATCATTTATTAAAGTTATCTGCAGCCCATCTGGTATTGCACTGATTTGGAATCAAGAGAGCTACGTGTATTGTGATAAACTGTAGCTGATCAAAAATAATACAGATATTTTTTGGGGGGGGGGGGTTACACAATGTTGGTTTCGAAATATTTCTAGCAGGACTACCTGATTCTCTAACCCACTTTGTTCTCTATGCCATCCATCTGCTAAACTTACAAGATTTCTTTTTCTCACCATGTGCATGTAGTACATCCTAACTAGAACTGTTGTTTCTCTGTGTCTATAATATATGTGGGCATATGCATAATTTTGAATTTGTCATGTTTATGTAATACATATTGGAGGTGGTGACCCTTTGAGAGCTGTATGTAACAAAAGTTTCCTTTTAATGTATGCTTGATTAGGGTACATTCAAAGGGACAATAAAGTTATTCTAAGTTCTAAACTGGTGCATAACTAGTTATTATAAGCTTCTGACTGTTCCTTGGGCTGAAATGCTGTGCACCTGTCGTTTTCCATGGCCTTGTTGTGGGGAAAATAGAAGTATTGGGTATCTTTGCTGCCTTGAGCAATTTTTAAAAATAATGTGAGGTATAAATAAAAAGAGTTTTAAGTGTGGTGTGTATATGCTGCCCTGGCTCGTTATTGTGCGATTTAGTTTGTGAGTCAACTTTATGAAATAATGGAGCCATAAATGCAAGACTTCTCACTGTCCACACATCCCCACGCCAAAAGTTGCTCATTTTTTTGCTTTTAGGCATCCAGGTCAGGATAGTTTTTTTCTCCCCAATTTCAACAGCAAGATAAGCATTTGAGATGAGCAAGCTGGCTTTTTTCCCTCCGGAACAATGCATAACATGTTTCACAACAAGGAAAAGAGGCCACTCATTAAGGGATGGTTATTTATGCAAGGAATTGTTAATTTGTTGAAGGTTGCTTAAAGAAAATACAGAATGCGGGTTTTCCTGTGGGTGTCCAACCTTGGCAACTCGAAGACCTGTGGCCTTCAACTCCCAGAATTCCCCAGACAGCATGAAATCCAAAAGGTGCCAAAGTTGGATATCCCCCGATCTAGACGGTCACAGAAAAGTAGGGTTTTGTTTGTGAACCAAGGGAAAAATTCCCTTCCAATAAACAAAAAGAATATTGAATTTGAAATATTGGAGCCGAGGCATGAAGTGAATGGTTTGTTTCTTTGTTTCTCTCGCCCTCTCTTAGGCAACCATGGTGAAGGAAACCGGTTATTACGACACTCTGGGAGTGAAACCCAACGCCACCTCCGATGAAATTAAGCGTGCCTACCGCAAGTTAGCATTGAAGTACCATCCTGACAAGAACCCCAGCGAGGGCGAGCGGGTATGAGCTGAAGTTAGATGGGGGAGACACTTTGAGGTCGACTTTGGCATCCAGGACCCAAATGTGCCTTTGCCGTGTAATCTGTACAATCGACCGACTATATTTGTAGTAAGGAGACACAAGAGTTCACCCCAAAAAATTGCTGCCTATGGAAGAGAATATCTGTAGCTCGGGATTGGACGGTGGGGCTACAGTTTTCTTGCAGACATTTTATGACCCAACTAGGTAACATCAACAGTGTCCAGGGCTGTAGCATACTGATGATTTGACCCAGTTGGGCCATGAAACTTCTGCAAGGCAACCAAGCTCAGAGCGCCCTAAAATTGGTATTGGTGCTTTCAGGATGGACCTCTTTTCGAATAGATTGCATAGGACAATCAGCCCCCTCTAACCTGATTCTTGCCTTGTGTAGTCCATAGAATTGTCCAGCAACTGAAGCAGTTGTAACGTGCGACATCATGTGATTGTGCTGACAAATGACAGCAGTGTCCATTGCAGTTGGTAGGCAAATCCGATTTGCAACCTCCTGCTGGCTTCTGCCTCTTAAGCTATGCAGTCTCATTCTATGACTGCTGTAGCAACAGAAATCAAACTCCCAAACAGTTAAGTTCTGAGGACTTGCGTGTATCAGGAAATGTAACCGTTGCTTCTGATGAGAGGTCAACCAGGTTGGTTCCGATGGGAGTTGGAGTACATCCTTAATTGAGACCTGGAGGGCTTTCCTAAGACATCCTAACTGCCTGAAAAATAATCTTGTCCTATTAGGCAATTATCCTTACCGGACTGTTGAGCTTTACATTTGACAGAAAAGCAGAGCGTAATTATTGAGATTTGTTTTATTTATATGCCGCCCTATTCCGGGAGGGACTCAGGGCAGCGAACAACTCAAAGGGAGAAAGGGAACACAGAATACAATACAAGTAGTTAAAATAGCCAAGAATCACACAGCCACACAAGTCGAGGGGGGAGGGGAACTCATCACCCCCAGGCCTGCCGGCAAAGCCAGGTTTTAACGGCTTTTCGGAAGGCCTGGAGAGAGGTGAGGGTCCGAATCTCTGCGGGGAGTTCGTTCCAGAGGGCCGGAGCTGCCACAGAGAAGGCCCTCCCCCAGGTGGTAGCCAGATGGCATTGGCTGGTAGACGGAACCCGGAGGAGGCCGACCCTGTGTGATCTAATGGGTCTTTGGGAGGTAATTGGCAGCAGGTGGTCTCTCAAGTAATTATTTTTTAAATAATGGGTGCAGCCGGCATTACAATTTTACCTGGGAACCTGGTTCAAAATATCCAGTAGGTTTAAAAGAGTCTTTTTCATTTGTTTCATATGTGTTTGAGAGTCTGATTTATATCTAAAAGGACTGGCGGAAAAGCAACAAATACGAATAACATGTTTTTAAGCTTCGTGGCAACGCACTGTGGAGGGGAAAAGTTAATTGATGTATGCATAAGTTATGCATGAACTTTTAAGTTTCAGCTAGAAAGCGAGTCTTTAACATGCTGATGTTGGGTCACAAAACAATTTGAGAGGGGGGGGGGTTAGCAACCACACTTGCAACATTTCTGTACGAGCAAAAAAAAAAACGTGTTAATTTCAAATGAATAAAATTTATCAAACGTGTCACATGTGCATATTTTCATTTCAGCACTGATTAAAATGGCCTTCCTGTCTGGAAACGGGAGTTTGTTTGTACTTTTGGCAGGAAACATTTTTTTGTACGGTAGAGACGCATTTGGTACTTGGCTCGAGTGCCAGACACAACATCCAGTTTCTTTGGAGTATAAGTAAAACAGTGGTTGACTGCGGTTTTGCTGTAACACGGTGTAGCAGCCTTTGTGATCACAGCCTGCGGTGCACGCCTGGGCCGTGATGCAAAGCTGCATTACCTGTCCCGTCAGAGGCTGCAGTTTCATAGCGTACATAACTCAGAAATAGTCCCGCTAAATTCAAGAGAGTTTATTTTTGAGCCAAGGTGCGTAATGCAAAAGCGTTGAATTCAGTCTTTTCCTGGGTGGACACGCCAAATTTGAAGGAAATGCCGGCATGTTTATTACCATATTTTTCGGAGTATAAGATGTACCTTTTTTCCCCAAAAGAGGGTGAAAATCTGGGTGTGTCTTATACACTGAATACAGCATTTTTGGCCTCCCAAAAGCCTGCCCCCCTTTGCAAAAATAGATGTGCAGAGGCTTTGGGAGGCTTCTAGAGTGTTCTTGGAGGCTGGGGAGGGAAAAAATGAGCAAAAAAATGGGCCATGTTTTGCTTATTTTTGCCCCACAGCCCCCAGGAACACTCCACAAGCCTCCCAAATACTATCTATGCCCTGTTTTTGGCAAAAAATGGGCCATTATTTGCTCGTTTTTGCCCTAGCCCCCAGGAGCTCTCAGCATGCCCCGTTTTTCACAAAAAATGAGGCGTGCAGAGGATTTGGGAGGTCAGCAGAGTGCAAAACCTTTTTTTTTTAATTTACCTTTTCAAAATCTTGGTGCGTCTTATACTCCAAAAATGGGTATCCAAAGAATCCTAACAATGCACGATGGAAACTTTGAAAAGGGAATAGTTGCTTTGAGGCTGGGAAGATGAAAGCTATTTCATGGAACTGCTTTAGCCAGTTCTAAGTTTTCTCATGCAGGAATGTGTTTCCTGTAATACAAATCCCACTCAACATTGCATAAGAACAGGTTGGCTTAATAGTCTTGGATGATGATGATGATGTATATTTTCATTTAATCCCACGCTTTTGAGGTGGGATCTGAAGGGTTGATAACGGGCCAACCTGAAATACTTCAAACATATTTTTTAATCCAAAAATTAAAATCATTGTATATCCAGGGCCATTGCATTAAGCAAGTTGCAGAGGATAATGAAATCGTAACTTGATTAAATCCACTGTCCAGTTGGATAGTATATTTATAGCTATAGCAGCAGTGAACATTTCATAATAGAGAAACAGGAGCAAGATAAAACATTATTGCAGCCAGAAAAAGGAACATCTTCCACCTTTGGAGTAAGTAGAATTTGATGTTTCCATTTACAGAAATGGCCAAAGTTGGCAGGACTGAATTTTCAATTTAAGGTACAGGCACTGGTACTGGACTGAAAATTCAATTCTGCCAATATATTTATATATAACTAGTGGTGATTGCATTAGAGAAAAATAAGATGCAATTTTGGATCTTCTCCCAGGCGAATCATTCTCCTACGAATCAGTCTTTCCTACCAAGCAACACATTTCCCACGTTAGCAAAAAGTGTCTTTGGCTGATGCTCCACGGGAGCAAACCTTGTGCATATATCTTCACACTTACTGGATTTGTTTCTAGCTACTGATATCACAACAGGAGACGTGGAATGCAAACAGAAACTGGGGAATTTAAAATCCCGAGAGGCTTCCCTTGACCAATGACGAGATTCCTACTAGGCTCTTCCCTGTAACTAAGAAGCAGACCAAGAGGGAAAGGATGCGAAGGAGGGGACATTGGAGGACTTAACTAATGTTCAGATGCCATTAGAGTATTTGCTACAAGGAGAAAACTGGTGTTAACACCGTTGTCTTCAAAGTTGAGGAACAGGAGCCCATGGCTTCATTTTGTGCGGCACAAATAAATGGAGAAAGTAAAGGAAAACTCAGCCTGTTCCTCGGTCCGTTATTGTCCACTCAAAAGTCTGCACTGGAAGTACTGTCTCTCTAAATCACCTCCTGGGTATCTCTGCAAACAGATGTAGACGCAAGCACACAACTGCGCACACATGCGCTTAGGTGGAGGTGGACAGTCACAGGTTTTTCAGATGCTTTCGACATAAGCTCCGGAATCTGTTTACCCATCTCTTTTTATAGTGGCTTGCAAGAAGCTTCCAAATGAGTATTCACTTAATATGAAAAACCCTCACTCTGGACCCCCCCAAAACCATGCAGAAGGGACCCCCCCTCTAAAATGTCACAGTTCTGGTTTGGAGCTGTGTTTTAACATTTCAGAGGGGGGTGCAAGCAAGATTCCCTTGGCATTTAAGCCATTATTTAAGCCGCTCTATATATATTTTCCCCTGGAAAATTGAGGGGTATTAACTCACGTTTTCAGCAGGCATAGCCAGGAGGAGCTCTGAGCACCACAAAATGGGCACTTTAGGAAACGTAGGGAGCTTGAGATCTACACCTTTTAAAAAATCTGCAATGTGGATGGTGTGCTATTCTCATGGCTAGAGGTTCAGACGTTTTTTTTTTTAAAAAGGTGAGCTTTCCCTGTGTGCCAGCCAGTTATTCAGAGGGTCTTTTTCTCTCTCTCTTAGTTTAAGCTCATTTCCCAGGCCTACGAGGTCCTGTCGGATCCGAAGAGGCGAGATCTCTATGACCAAGGTGGCGAACAAGCCATTAAGGAAGGCAGCGTGAGCGGCGGCAATTTCTCTTCGCCCATGGACATCTTCGACATGTTCTTTGGCGGCGCTGGCCGGATGAATCGAGAAAGGAGAGGTAGGGGGCTTGTGTTTTAAAGTGGCCTCGTTTCCGTTCAAGCCTTGGGGGGGGAAACTGGAGAGGTTATAACACGTTCTATGTCAATAACCACGCAGAAAAAAGTACCATGTTTTTCAGAGTATAAGACGCATCGGAGTATAAGATGCACCAAGGTTTTGAAGAGGCAATTAAAAAAAAAAAAAGCTTTTGCACTCTGCAGACCTCCCTAAAACGCCCGTTTTCGTGAAAACGGGCCCATTTTTTGCACAAAAAAGGAGCATGCATAGCCTTTAGGAGGCTTATCGAGTGCTTTTGGGGGCTGTGGGGGGCAAAATTGAGCAAAAAACATTTTTTTGCCCATTTTTCGTTCATTTTTG